AATAATTTCAAAGAAGCTTGGATTTTCAGAAAGAACACATGGAGTGACAGGGTTAACTTTATTCTTGTAAAAAAAAACAGGCTAATCATTCTTTGAGGGTTTAAAATGGGAATAAAATATGCCTAAATATTTCTCATAATCATAATTTACAGTTTTTGGTCTGAGACAAAATAAGATTGTCTTTTATTACACGAATGCAAAATAGTACAAGGGATCTTAATTCAACACGTATCATAAACTTTTCACACTATTGATGATATTTTACAAGCCTTTAGTGTAGAGGGTTACTTCTTATTAAATGAGGACTATTTGATTGAATCTCATTAAAATAACAAAAGCAAAAGATTTATATATGGTTTAAGATTTCTGGTAAAGTTTCTATTAGGGATAAATCTTATATACATTTCAAATGATATTTCTTTGATAAAACATGACTGTGGGCAGTTTTGCACATTTATTTCATAATCTGATCTTTTACATGATTTTTTGTTTGGTTTCTGATTTTGTCTGATCCTATGAATATGCCAACACTTAAAACAAGCAAAGTTATTTTTGAAGGTTGAAATGTGTTACTTAATTTAAACATTTATTTTGCTATTATTGAGAGGAGAACTGAAATAATAAATGTTACTGATATATTGATGCTCTATTGGCTTAGTATGAGAAAAACACAAAAAGAACTAACTTGATCTTCAGCTTCAAGGAGAAGCCTTTAAATAAAAAATAAAAAAACATTATGTTTACTAATCAGATGATGCAGAATCTTAAAGAACCTTCCTTGCTCTCCTCATCACCTGTGGATGCTGCTGTTCCCTGCCTGAGGTCCTCGGCTGTCCAGTGCATCACTTCCAACATAGAGAAGGGCAGCGGTACCAATAGAACCCCACCTGCCTATCAGATGGTTTCCCAGAACCGAAAGACGACCGTTGAACTCCAGCTTTCTATAGTATAAGGGCAGTACTAGTATCTAGTGACAAAACAACATTTTTTCATTCACTTTAATGTTCTTTATATAATCCATTGATTTTGCTTTTTGTTGTGTTTTTTCTGTTGCAGAATGAAGTCCAATCCTTTCTGGGTGTGCCGGGGTGTGAGACTGTGGGCGCCTTCCACGATTGGTGGACCGAGTTAAAGCTGAAACGCCACACTGAAGCCTCCTGGGCACTGTCGGGGTTTCCTATCGAGCTGCGCCGGCTCTACATCTGGACACACGCAGAAACTGATTTGACGTAGAAAGGGCTCACTATAGAGAGACTGATATGATTAGATTTTATTACTATTAGTACATTTTACTTAGAGAGCATTTTTAATTGTTTCCTCATCATAGTTCATTCATATCAGTATATTTTGACTGTGCTGCCCTTGATCCTGATTTATTGCATTGGTTTGCTGTTTTATGAATGTGTTCATTGTTCTGTCCTTTTAATACTCAGACTTCAAAGCTTTTCTTACCATTTCATTTAACATTGCATCCTTTCTGTAGTTCATTAACCTTTAAATATTACATAGAAATTTCAATAAGTTTGGTTTTTAAAACTAACACATTGTTTTACTCATTACTCATTATTGCTTCATTGACTTTAAAGGATAGTACCTTAACATTTCTATTTTTACTTTATTAAGTTTTAAGTAAAATCTACCTTTTAAGTCATTTTACAATATTAACCTAACACTTCATTTATTTTTGCATTTTATTAAGTTTTTAAATAATCATCCTACAATTCTATTCAATTTACATTTTGGTTAACTCTAACAACTTGGTGAATATAAGTTTAATATTTTTTTTACTTTAAAGATGACAATTAGATCCTCCTAATACTTCACCCATTTTATATTTTCATAAAATTTCACATTTATTCTTTTTAAAAAAAAAAAATTTCAGACTTTGTTCTTTAATAGTTCATCACCCTTCTATGGCATGACGTTGACCT